AATCATCAATAAACACATGGTTTCTTTTTGGCATTTTAGAGATTAAATGAATTTAATATACCGCGCATTCTTTCATTCAGCAGTGCGCTGAGCAGTTGCTGCCGGAAATGACGTTTTCGCTGTTGACGGTTGAAAACACTTTTGCCGGAGAAAGAGCTATCTCAAAATGGCTGATATAAACAATGTTTTTCTTTCTTCTATATTTACGCGCATATTAGAAGAAAGGCCATTAAGTTCGATGTTATTTATAAGAAAACAAGGAAATGATGATTTATTAATGGCATTGGCTATGACTGATTCCCAACAACGAAGAAAGCGTGCAAAAATCGTTGGTTACGTTCACAATATCGTACCACAGTATTCGAATGAAATCTTTAAAAGCCATTTTCGTATGTCACGATTAAAAATCTGCTTATTTAAAAGAGCAAAAAACTGATTATTATTTGGTAGTCGAAAAAGATACTTTCTCATGGATGCTTCCATCTTGTAAGCACTATTTTTAGCGTAATCGAGAGGTGCTGCTAGTGCGCTGAAAGAGCACCTTAAGCGCGCTGACAGTAGGCTTAATAATTGAACACATGCGCTAAAAGGGCTGCAAACGCTGAATAAAAGAATGCGCAGATACTGTACGAAATAATTGCAAATGCCGATCAGCAATTTGAACTCGACTAAGAGATGACATGCACAGCAATGACGTGGCCAGTGTAAGTTTCAGTCTTGCCAACTCTAATTGAAACAAAATATCTAAAAAAAAAAATGAAATAAAAATATCTAGATGTCATTGACTACGTGCTATTATAAATTCTGTGAAAAAATATCTGAATGACAAAATAAAACATCTAAATTCATTAGGCCATATGCTATAAATTTTTGAGGAAAACATATAGACAACATTAAAAGTACGATCTAGATACGAAATATTTAGATTGACAACAGTGAGTGTAACAGAGGGGTAAAGTGCCAAATCGCCATTTTACTCGAGGCTGCACTATTTTTACTTCTTGTATATTCGGCACTTTAAAATTTTACCAAATAACCGGGACAAAATGACAAACTGGCCGGGACGCTGGGACAACATAGTCAAACTGGGACAATCCCGGTCAAAACGGGACGTCTGGTAAGCCTATCATTGTGGCCATTATGTGCGCTGCCATTGACACCACCCACCATCACCTCCATTTGGAGTGGTGTCACTCTCAACAATTGGAACCAGGTTGTCTTTGGCAATGAATCCAGATTCAGTTTAGGTACCAACAACGAACACGTTCATGTCTGAAGGTCCCATGGTGAATGCCTTAATCCCGCCTACACTTTGGAGTGGTACACCTCCCCTATAGCTGGTGTGATGGTCTGGGATGCCATCATATACAACAGCTGGTCACCTGTAGTAGTGATACAAGGGATTAAGACAGCTCACACATGTTGCCTCTCATTGAAGGGTTTCCAAGATCAATTTTCCAATGGGACAATGCTCAACTACAAACAACAAGGGTGTCAGGGGACTGCCTCTGTCATATTGCCACACTTCTCTGGCCTGCCTGGTCCAGATTTCTCACCAATCAAACATGTCTGGGATTGCCTGAGAAGCCAAGCTGGACAATCTAGGACAGGGGTGGCAAATCTTTTTGAGCCCATGTGCCATATAGTAAGCATACTTAGCTTTAGCCTTTTGTTGATGGGGGTAACAATCTGTGTACCCCAAGGTCACACGAAACCACTAGGGTACTGATTTGTTGTTAACCTGGTAAAAATCCAATTCATTATAATATTTATACCACAGATGTCAGCACTTCACTGCATCTTATTGTCCATCCTTTGTTTCACATATTTTTGTCAGGTGGTGTTTTGTTGACCTACAAACTGTTAGTGAATGCTTTTTCCCCTACTTTATTTTTTTATCTTTTTTTTATTTTTAGCATATTCATGCAATAATAATACTATAATAAGTTTCATTCATGCTATAATAAGTCAACATATCATAAATATTCAAGTTGTAATTTTCAGTTGTGACATTTTATATACAGTGGGTGATCGATTAATGAACAGATCGGATAACAAACACTTTCGCAAAAGATTTTTATGATCGGACAACGAACACATGATCGGATAACGAATACCCCACAAAACAAACACAAGAAAAAGCGACATAAAATAATGAATACCGATTGGTCTTCCCTTATCTTTGGGAAACAATTTGAAACTTTTCGGAGTGTGGGAGACATCAACATCGATGCTCAAGCCGGTATATACCAATCGGATAGTATTCCTCCGAACTTTGAAACTCTTCCTTGTAATTCCAGCCTTTTATTTTTCTGACAAAACAATTCTTTTATGTATTTGCGAGACTGTCGGATAGGCACTTGTTAAGTTTTGTGTCTGTTTTTTCTTTTCAAAAGGTGAGAGTATAAGCAAAGGTAGAGAGTGGGCAGAAGATGACTAATGTTGCTAGGCAGTATGGCTTGAACAGGTCTACAGTAGGCTGCAGTTCAATCTTATTTAAGAAAAATACTGTATAATCAAAAAGACTCAAGCAGCTAAAGGAGTAACAAAAATCACATCTGAGAAATAAAGAACATCGAAGAGTTCATAATGGAACTTGAAACGGATCTGACGACAGAAGAACGCCAAGAACCCTTGAATGAAGAACAAGAAACTTGACAAGTTATATTTTCTTCTGAAAAAGAAGATTAATGCCGATATCTATTATTAAAGATCCTTTGAAGAAGTGGGAGGATGTCAGAACAATGGTCTTAAAATGGCATCGAAACCAGATTGAAGCTTGGGGATTTCTACAATTGAAATGCTATTAATTACTTACGAAAAATCCTGAAGAAAAGAGAAAAGCAATCAACATTAGACAGATTCTTTAACCCTTTCAAATGGAAAAAACATGACTAATAAAAACGCAAGACTGTATGTATGTATTTTTATTATTACATATAAACAAACATAGTAAGAAAGTATATAT